GGTGATTCACTCTCATTCCTATCCCTTGATGTCTTTCCATCTCTCTCCTTTATCCTCCATTGTTGCTATTGTTATCTCTCCTTCTTTTCTTTCTTTCTCTCTCTCTCTCTCTCTCTTGTATTGCGTAATATATATGTGATCAAGGACATTTTTTATAAACACACTTCTCTTTTGAAATAAAATAAGATAAGCTCGTCGAAACGAGCTAACAATATGCAAAAAAAATTAATCGAAAGAGTCCTTTAGAACACCCGATTACGTTTATTCAGTGAAAAAATGTCAAATTATATTTCAATTTTTATGCATCAAAATGAAAATGATAATGTACTGAAATCTTTTAAATTAACCATAATTTGATTTTAATCAAAAATAATTGTTTTTAATTTTTGATTAAAATCAAATTATGGTTAATTAAAAGATTTCAATCGATTATCATTTTTATTTTGGTGCATAAAAATCGAATTATAATCCGATATAATCGGATATAATCTGACATTATGTCAACAGGTAAGGATAAGCTTAAAAATTTAAACACGTAGTTCAGGAGAAGCTTTAGGGTAGAGTTAAGAATAAGGTTAAGAATAGAAATGGATAGTTAAGGACAAGGTTAAGAATAGAAATAAGGGATAATGATAGATATAAGGGTTATGGGTAGAAATAATCGGCTAAGAATAGAAATAGGTCGTTAGATGTAGAATCAGTCAACAGCACTAGGCAAAGCGTCTCGAATGAACTGGTTTCTAGCTGACTAGAACCATTTTTGAAAGAAAGAAGAAAAGATTCGAGATAGAACCAGACTATACTCGAACCTAAAAAGGTTCTGAAAATGATACCAAAAGCTAGAACATTTTAAGGTTCAGTATCACAACTTTTTTTCACAGAGTAGTGCCTGAATGAAGCACTAGGTTGTTTTAGAACCTGATAAACAAGAGCCTCCTAGTAAGATATGCTGCGTATCACTTTCAGTTTCTGCCGTTTTTTGGAAAAAGCAAACTTTTCAAATGAAAACACTATCATAACCTTTCTTGGTTTTCGGTGGTTTTGTAGTGATAGTGTGTAAGATCGCTTTATTTGTCGATGAATTCAATTTGTTCGGATACAGAGTACGAATACCGTTTTGATCCTAAAATTTAAAGATTTATTTATTAAAATTTGTTTTCATAGAATCTAAAGAATGACTTCAGAAAAGACTATCAGAGTTTGGCTCAATTCTTTTAATCCAGAGTGTTGTTGATTATCGCATAGACAGATTCTTCGAAGTGACTGTAGTAAACGACATATTAAGAGTTTTTTTATAGTTTTTCATGGACAACGGAAGCGAATTTTTATTGTTTTGAACAGGTGCTCATTCTTTCGCTTTTGAATATGGTGAACAATGTAATCTCTTGAGGACTAGTGCTCAGTTAATATCACTGTGATCCCCTATTCATTTAACTCTTCTACAAATCAATCTTTCTATTCTGTTTTAGAATCTTAGATAGAATCTCATCATGCGCTTGACATGAATGAGTATATACTTTTTTCAAATAAACATCAAGATCCACGTTCACCAGAATGGAGCACACGTTAATTGATTTAGTTATATATGACTTTAATGATAGGTTGCAATCGATTGGCTGCGTTTTCAATGTATGTTAAGGGGGCATTCTCAGAAAATCGACTTTTTCAGGAAAATATCGAAGTTGAGTTTTTAATATAGAAAGATGCAGCGAAGCCTCCTCTTTCAGAATATATATAGAGTTTTTCGGAACATGATCGGATTTTCTAAGGCTTATCCCATGAAACTTAAAATCCATTGCCACTTTTTCTTAGGAAAATTCATGACTTTTTCAGGTTGCCAGTTTCCAAAAAGTTGCCTTCTTATTAGCATTATTATTGAACAGAACATATTTATTCTAATCACCATGTTAAATGGAGCTAACTGTCACCGTCTATGGCGTCTTGTAAGACGGTTCAGTGGAATATACCACTGTAATATGACTTGTTCTGGGCTTTAATGAAAAAGTTCACTTCTAAAATTTCTTTAGCATTTTTTCAAAACATGGTTTCTAGACAGAATAATCAAAATAACTCCCACTCGGCTTGACAAATAACACATCATTTTGTATTTGTTTTAAAGGTCTTAATTAGAGGTAACTTTTCATCAGGCGGATTTTTTATGTTGAGTCCTAGATCTGAGAAAAGTGGGATTTTGTTAGCGTCCATGATAAATTACTTGGACGCTAAACGATGATTAAGATGCGCCTTCTAGTCTAATTGGCTTAGGAGAACTGCACGCATAGCAGGAGGTGTGGGTTCGATTCCCACGAGGGCCATCTTTTTCATCGTTCTGTCACATAACATCCGTGACACTGCTTGTCTCTTTCGTTCTATACATATTGGAGCTAACAGATTTACTATCGTAGAATCACACTTTTTAATGCTTATTTTGCAAGCATGCTCGCAAAATTGCGCATAAAAAATGAATGGAAGGGAGTTTCAAGATTCCTTCCGATGAAAAGTTGCCTACAGAGGCTAACTACAATTTGAGACCAGCCGAACTCTGTTTCTCTTCTTTGGATCGAGTTATTCAGATTTTCCTGAGAGGTAAGAAAAGCAGTCGAAACTGTGATTCAGTCGGACATGCCAAGCTGAAATTTTTATCACAAGAGTTTCTTACTAAGACCAACAATTTCTAGAAATTTTAACCCGGATGTGGGTTCCAAGTGGGACTTTATTTTTGAGGGAGGGAGCTCCCTTAAAAACTTTATTAAAAACGAAATAACTATATTTCGACTCGAAGTTTGGTTAAAGGTCTCTGTAAGCCATCTTTCATGTCAAAGTCAAACAGTTCACTCAAAAAGAAACATCTGAAACATCATGTGACTTACCCGTCTCTTTGCTTTAGATCATTTCTACTACTGATCCTAATTAGCGAAAACTTTTCATTGAGATATTGAGTGAGAAACATTTGAAACCACTTTTTAAGAAAGAAAAGGAATAAAATGTTTGCTAACCTTTTTAGGCAACATTTGTTTTGGTTGAGTTACTTGATAAAGTGGATTCATAAGTGCATCTGAGTCGAACACATGTGGAAGGCCAAGACTGTGTCCAATAGCATGAGAAGCAACTAAACGTATGTTGATACCCACGCCATCATACCTTCAGATTTTATTAGTAAATCGATAAATAACATGTATTTATCTACTCACGTGTTTGACCACTGTTTATTTTTATTGAAATGAATCTGTCCACGACTGCTACTAATCCAAGGGTAGGAAGCATGGCTTAATGTTCCATTAAGTAAATACTCATCACCATGATCATCATTTACAAAAGCCAAATTAAAATCAGCTTTTTCATGTTCAGATACTTCACGAAAAGTTAACCCAGTATGGCTATCCCAATCATCAAATGCCTGTTGAATATATTTGCTAGTTTTCAACGAGGTAGATGCAAAAGAATCACGGTTTAATTTCCATGTGAGTGTGCGATTCGTCGGCCTTAATATGAAACAACTTTAGGACAACAAAGTAAAAATTCAAGTATATTATTTGACTTTTGTTCACCCTTCAGAGAGTTCAAAATTCCGAACTACTCAAGAATATGACATTTATCAAAACACTTTGATGGAAAAGAAATAATACGCTGTACATTCGCTTATATCGATCATGAATAACTGTGGAACTGCGTTAATCCAGTGATAGACGGCTTCTACTTATTTACAAAAGAATCCATCATACTGAAAGCTGCTGGTTTACAAGGCAATTATTTTCAAAAGCTTTTTAAGAAATATTTTAAGAAACTCGACTATTCTCCCTGCCGAAAACGGCATTACCAGAGATAGCTTCCATTGATGAGTGGTAGTGAAGAATCAGACATGCCACATCGCGGTGTATTCATTAATTTGCGCGTGGCAGCATCGAGCTTTTTGGTTGTAGACAGACGAAAGTTAGTTTGAAATTGTTTTAACATTGCTGTTAAGCTCGTCTGACAAGATCGATGATTGTAATCACTTGAATTTGAACCGGGAAGGCTTCCGCATGGATTATAGCCGAAGCGAGTGAGATATATGTAGGCATCCATCTCCGTTTTGACAAGAGAAATTTTGAACTGAGGATTATTACTAGGCGGTTTAGCCATGTTCTTCGATGAAACTCTCTTAGGCGACTTAGCAGTTACAAAAATAAGTACGATAGAAAAAAGAGCAAGCAGCGAAAACCGTCGCATTGTCTATGTAAAGTCGATAATGGTGAATGACGATTGCAATAGTCTCAAATGTGTTACACGTTAACAATTATTTTCTCTTTACCCATAAAGGAATGAATGAGAAGAGAAAATTGCCAAGAGAAAAAACGAGTTGATTATTTTAAAGGACATTACATTCGACTACGAGAGAGTTAATCAATCACAAGATAAGCTTCTTTTTGGTGTTCTATTACCGATTCCACTTTCGTGCGAGATAGAAAAGAAGATTGAAAGCAAAATTTCGATAACATGAACGGATTCGACCAACGTCTCGACATTAATGTTTGTTATCTATCGATTATTCTGTTCTTGAACTGATGAACTTCAGAATCTGCCATCCATATGAAGATAAAAATGGGCGATCCTTCATCGCCGATATATTCTATTTTTGGTTATGCCTCGGCCTATTATATGTTGTTATCTCTCTTTCTCCTTTATTCCTCTCATCTGATACATTTATAAAGGGTGTTACCTAAGCTCTGATACAAAATAGTTAATGATAGTTTTGAATACTTTTTTTTAGATAGAGAGCTGAAATTTTCATCACATCTATATTTAATTATGATATTTAATTTCTAAAAGTTTCAGCTCTTTAGCTATACCGAATGGTAAAATGCATCACTGGCGAGGGAAGGTCCCCAACTGTCCAATCGCTTTTGAGTTCGGACTCTGTGCATAAAGTAGAGCCCAGTGAGGTATGAAAAACTCCAAAAGGATAACGGCCCTTAGGCCTTCTGTCCCGAATTATAGCGATTTTACAGAAATTTCAGCCTATGGCATGGTATTTACCAACAAATCGAATGATAATATTTCGGGTTGAGATTTTGCCCATAGAGAGGTCTAGTTGTGAGTAGAATGTCCTGAAAATTTTAGCTCAAAAGAATGTTTGCTTCTCGAGATATTAAAGTCCAAAAAACAAGAAAATTCTAGCATTTTTTCGTGAGATATGAGCGATTTTTGGGACTTTAATATCTCGAGAAGCAAACATTCTTTTGAGCTGAAATTTTCAGGACATTCTACTCACAACTAGACCTCTCTATGGGCAAAATCTCAACCCGAAATATCATCATTCGATTTGTTGGTAAATACCCTGCCATAGGCTGAAATTTCTGTAAAATCGCTATAATTCGGGACAGAAGGCCTAAGGGCTGTTATCCTTTTGGAGTTTTTCAAACCTCAATGGGCTCTACCTTATGCATAGGGTCCGAACTCAAAAGCGATTGGACAGTTGGGGACCTTCCCTCGTGAGATTAAAATACATAAAAATACAAAAATGAGTCTCTCATGCTCATGATAACGGAAAATAAATTGTTAATAATGTTTTAATACTTTTTCTTGAATTACAGAAATAAAATTTTTATCACATATACAGCTAATCAAGATCTTCTATTTCTNAGGTTTAGGCATTAGACAAAAACAAGCTAAAACAATTGCTATTCAACGTCGTATAAATAATCTTGGTCAACGATATTATGATGGTGCTATTAGTGCTATGGAATACTTGAACGGTTTATCATTTACAGTTGCTAAACAGAAAAAATGAGAAATTGATTTTTTTTCATTACCTATATTTTATCTCTGTCGGAACGTTCACATTAACTCATATAATAAAGCATGTTCCTTATTATTCACAACTCGATGAAATATTTATCACCCACTTTTCATATCAATATTATTTTTTCGACATTTTTCCACTTCGATATTGTTCCTTTCGACATTTTTCCCCTTCGTTCTTTCGACATTTTTCCTTTCGATATTTTTCCTTTCGACATTTTTCCTTTCGACATTTTTACGGCCAACCCCTGTTTTAGATTTAAAACATGATTCAACTTTAAAAGCATCAGTTTCCTTTGAGTCAATTTGAAAAAATGCAAATGTCAGGTATATTTAATAATTTTCGTGCGGAATTGATTAATTGTATTTTTAAAATTTTAACCACACAATCCCCAGCAATTATTTTAACAATAGAAAAAAAATCATTTTCTACACGTGTAAATATATCGTCTGGTAAAAGTGACATTCCAAATGTTAGATTATCATCATTATGAGAATTCATTTCAAAAGATAAGTAGTTGCTGCTTATCTAAAATAGTTATGTAAATGAGCGTACAACTGCAAGATTTTTAACATAAATACGTTACAGCTTAAGAATCACACAGAAATTGAATATTTGTTTGTTCAAGTATTCGTTACAATTACAAATCAAACAATGATAAATTAAATAAAGTTGTAACTGCAAAAGCAATACTAAAACGAAATAATAAAAATAATAATTCATTGAAGAATAACATAACCAATGAAATCCTCAAAAGTTTAAACGAGAAGACTAATGAAATTAATCATTTCTTCGATAGTGCTTTAGTATATTCAATTGAAAAAAAGAGAACTTCAGTCATAATTACATTCTCATGTAAAGTTCAACTCTCTTTTAAGGTCAATGTATCGCAAGGAAACGGTTATTTGCTCGACAGTGGACAAAAGAGTTACGCATGAAGGACGACAAATTTTTCATAAACAAAAATGACCAAGAAAGAAAATGTATAGAAGTGTCAAAAAAATGTTAACAATGTAGTTGACAAAAAGAGTGAATCCTATTAGACATAACTAATGAAAAAGAAAAGAAAAAGTGGCGAGTATGGTTGAGCGAGAGAGGAGTGTGTAATTAGATTGATGATGAATCGAACATTAATATATGTATTTAGGAGATCTGCTTGACGAAAATGTAGTCCATAACGTGAGAATGTTGCATATTAAATTCAAATCACAAAAGAAGTGTTAGAAAAATGAGTAAAAAAATTATCAGGAATTTATACATATCATCTGTAGTCTATAGGTTCTATTTTAAAATAGTCATTAAGAATCATGAGTCTTCCTCTCACCAAATTCGACTTATAGATGCCACCACTTTGTAGAATACATAATAACTCACTATGAAAAGAAATAATATAAAGAGTAATTATTAATAATTTTTCATTGGTTAGTTATATGCACAAATCTTTGGTCTGTATTGTATTTAGATTGTTTGTTGGTTTATCGACTTGACAATCTCGTTTCGAAAACATTTTTAAAATTATTATTTTTACTTAAATATCTCTCTTTATACTTTTATTTCCATTTGATTTTAGAAGAATTTTGTCATGTCATTTTCTTATCAATTTAATTATCTTCCATCAAATATACTGACTTTATCAGGTTATGCTTTTTTTCAATTCATTAAAAATACGTTAGGTGAACCTGAAGCCAATTTATTATCTAAAATTTCAGTGAAAACAAAATCTTCATTTCTGCTCATTGAAAATCCACTTGATATATTTAATGAAGATATTGAAGATGAAGAATTAGATAAACTAAAAGAACAATTATGTTTTAAAATGAAAAACGATAAACTATTGATCAAACCTGGTGTTCTTTCTGGGTTTCTTTCATTAAACAAGCATTAAAAGATAAATTAAATCAACAACTGAAACACCAAAATAAAAAGAAGAAAAAACAACAAGATGCTAATGTATCATCAATATCTTCGGTTTTGGCAACACAAACAACAACATCTCCATCATTATCCATTACTGAACATCAAGCATAAGTTTTAAAATTAATTAAAAGATGGTGTCTTGAAAATAGAGAAAATTTAGGTTTAGAATCGTTTGAATTAGAAGAAAATATTGATTTTAGTGTAAATATTTACGCTGATCATAATTTAGCTATACAAGGAACCATTAAATGTAAATGTGGTAAAGTTATTGCATTAAGTAAAAATAATGAAAAAATACAAGTATCAAATTATTATAAACACTTATTATCAGTCGGATATAGAAATATGAAACAAATTGAAAAAAAAGCAAAAGAAATAGAATTAACAAAACAACAACAACAGCAACAATCAATAGCATCTGTTTTAAGTGCACCTGTATCTCAATGGGAAAACTCGCTAATGCAGGTGTCAGATGATGAACCAATGGTTGCAAAACGAACATCACATGAATCTTCAGCACAGCCAAAAAATTGTGCTAAACGTCGCATTATATCACAATCACAGCAACATTCATCAACTAAAAGAATTCGTACATGAACGTTTCTTCTCTGTTTTAACTATTTTTAAGTAGGGGTGAGAAATTTACTGTTCTTGTTATTGTCATTAATAACAATAAAATTAACCTTTTGATTCAAAATAATCAATGAAGTAAATCTAAGCATAGTTTGTACGAACGTCAAAAGATTACTTTATTAATACAGTATCTTTTCTTACCATTTGATATAAGAGCTTGTGGTAAATATTTTGAGAAATACTAACATAATATATTTTGTTATCGTTATTGTTATTTAGCAATAACAATGATAAAATATGTTATGTTAAAATTTCTCAAAATATTTACCCCAAGTTCTTATATCAAATAGTAAGAAAAGATACTGTATTACTAAAGTGATCATTTGACGTTCGTACAAACTATGCTTAGATTTGTTTCATTGATTGTTTTTCATCAAAAAGTTAATTCTATTGTTATTAATAACAATAACAATAACAATAACTTTCTCACCCCTATTTTTAAGTCGGATGTCTGTTTTATTATGTTTTTGGTTTTTATATAACTTTTCTTGAATAAATTATTTTAAAGTATTTCATATTACTAAAGTCGCTATTTTTTGCCTTGTATCATTGAGATCTTCAATGTTGTGTTGATAGTTGGCAAAAAACTAAAAGAGATAAAGTAATAACGTTGATCATTCACCCATGGATTCATATCATCAAAACTTTAAGTAATTCGAAATTTCTCAAAGTAGTTCAAAGTACCTAAAGTAGCTCAAAGTATCACTAAAGTAGCGGACAGTAAAGCAAAGTAGCTGAAAATAACTTCAAGTAGCCTTAAAGTATTTTTCAAGTAGTCTAAAGTATCGTTAAAGTAACTTCAAGTAACTTCAAGTCTAAAAGTACGCTGTTTCCCCCTTGTCCTCGCAGAAACTGGGAGCCGCTTTCAGCAGCTGCCTCGACTACCATCGTTGTAAGTATCGTTGCTTTGATTCAGATTCCTTTTTCAGTCATTATTATCATTTAAGTTGCAGTTCAAGATATAATTCTGTAAGTTATGTAGGTGGAAAGTCTGTCTGAGACACAACTTACACTCTCAACCGATAGAATCAATTACACTTTTAACTTCAACCTTGATGTCAAGATCTATCAGACTGGTTCTGTTTATTAGTGATTTTCCCAAGCAAAACTTTTCATTCGGCTATTACTCATTGTTCTGTACCATTCAGAAGCTTTTCATGGCGCAGTACTCATTTTTATAACAGTTGCATTCTATTTTTGTCCTCAGCTGGCATCTTAGTTTTAGAGTGTCATGTTCCTAATTAGGATGACAGCTTCGAACTTAACTACGATACTCATTACAGACGTGCTGTGGGACCATCGCTTTCGGTAGGCTTCGGTTAACTATATTCGATAGCTCTTCAAGTTTCTGTAAGAATCGTTTCAGACACTCATGATCCTTTTTGGGCACGAATTCTATGTTAGAAGTGAACATTCGCAACAGATAGGCACCGCTCGCACTCGTACTTTGTTGGGCGCTGAAGTTCATCATGTAGGGTGTGGGTGTGGGTGTGGGTGTGGGGGTGGGTGTGGGGTGGGTGGGGGTGGGTATGGGTGTGGGGGTGAGGTGTGGGG